ACAGGGTAACTAGAGTGAGTCTCTCCAGTGTGGCTTGGAAACCTCACCAATGAAATCTTGTTCCCCAAGGAGTTCATAGCAAAGCTAATTATTTATTTTAATAACATGGGGTTTCACCCTACTGTTTTTGGGAGTAGGGGTTCCAATACATCAAGAAAAACTATTCAATAGTACTGATCATGAATTTGCTCCCATCTAAATCCTCAGAGTGGGCATAAAGCACAGTACATATACTGTACCATTTACCTGGAGTACTGTGTTCAGTTCTGGGCACCCCAGTATAGGAGGGACGTGGAGCTTCTGGAGAGGGTCCAGAGAAGGGCAACCAGGATGATTAAGGGACTGGAACATCTCTCGTATGAAGAGAGGCTGAGYGAGCTGGGCCTGTTTTCTCTGGAGAAGAGAMGGCTCAGAGGGGATATGATTAATATGTRTAAGTTCAGGAAGGGAGAATGCAGGGAGGAAGGGGACAGGCTGTTYTCACTGGTGGCCAGCGATAGGACGAGGGGTAATGGCCACAAGCTGAAGCAHAAGAAGTTCCGTCTCCAGGTGAGGAGCAACTTCTTTACTGTTAGGGTGACAGAGCMSTGGAACAGGCTGCCCAGGGAGGTTGTGGAGTCTCCTACTCTGGAGGTCTTCAAAACCCGCCTGGATGCCACCCTGTGCCACATGCTCTAGGTGTGCCTGCTTGAGCAGGAAGGTTGGACTAGATGATCTGTAGAGGTCCCTTCCAACCTTAAATATTCTGAAATATTCTGAAATATTCTGAAATATACAGACAGAGCAGATGTAAGGTTTTCTGTCTGGGACAGGGGTGTTCCTAGGGGTGTTCCTGGGATAGGGTATAGATTGATCTATCTATCTATCTATCTATCCATCCACCCACCCACCCATCCATCCATTTATATATTTCTCCCTTTCTATCGCTCTCTCTTTATATATATATATATCCTTTATATATATGTATACACATTTTTATATATATATTCCTTAATGTATATGCATGCACATATATATGTAAAAGTGTGTATGTGTGTAAATACATCAGTTTATATAGGAGCATTATTATAATATATTTTTGGATTGCTGCTCTATAAATTTCAGACAGATTTTTTTAAAACATCCAGTTTTACAGAGAAATGCTAGGATTATTTTTTTGGAATCCAAGAACTGCTACTGTAAGGTTTTTCATGTTGGAAACAGTTGGCAAAGCCTGCTTTTGTGGGGACTGCTTAACATAATAGTGTTACACAGTAGTAGAAATGGAACCAGTATCTTATGTGAGGCTAATAAGCAAAAGCAGATACACTTGAATTACTTTTAGGCTCCTGGTGAAAGTCTCTTTGGTGTGTTTCAGTAAGCTTTCCTTCACTTTAATTCAAATCAGTTTATGGGACACAATCAGAAAACACTCTTGCCAACAGTTGAGAGGCAGCTCACCACACTTCAGGTCACACTGTAACCTGGGAGAAGCTTTTGCTACAATCCCCTAATCTGTATCTTGAGAAAAAAAGGCTGATAACCTAATGTTGAAACACACCTGAAAGGGTCATCAGCCTACATCTAGGGAGAAGAGTTGTTCTTTAGAGCATTGGTTTCTACAGTAACAATTCAGCATGCATATCTGTCACAAACAAAACCGCTCTTTGCTGGAAATCAAAGCAAATACTTAGCTAGTAGTTAAGTAGGATGCATAACACAAAACCCTGTAATATTTAAAACATTTGGGAAGGAAAGGATACCCATCTCTCTACATTTAGATGGTAAAAAGCTGTCAGCTTCCCAACCATAACATTATTTTTATAAATTGTTCCACAAAAGTTTTTTTTTTATTCTAATGACTGGCCTTCTGTTGTCATGACCTGCTAAAACATTAGTTTTAAACAGAAGAGGAAATTCTAGCAGAAGATAAAATGCTAAAGCACCAAGGGAGTTTCTCACATCATTTTTGCCCTTACGATGAAAATATGAATCTTTGTAGCATTTCCTCTGGACTTCTGGTATGCACATTACTGAGAAAGCACATCCTGGGGCTTTATTTTTAGGCATATTCATTACAGAAAACATCATTTGCCTAAAAAAAGTGAAATCTAATGCTTGTTTTAGATGCCTAACACCGTTTAAATATATATTCAAATGCTTTGACTGTGCTTTCACCTTTCCATAAATCCCTTCTGTGAAAGGAACTCCACATTTCTGCGGTGAAATGTGTTAAGTGACTTGCTAATTAATGGGAAGAGAGATCTCATCCTGTTAGTAAAGGAAGTGCTTAGCCCTAGGACAGGTATAATACCAAGCAGGTTTCTTGGAGCATTAAATCTCATTGAATTGCTCCTTCCAACAATCTAAGGAGCAGATTTGAACTGGGACTCCAAAGCAAATGTTCTTGTTTGTTTGTTTGCTTTCATGTTTTCTGTCTTTTTGGTCTGCTAAAGTTTTATTTGCAAAGATCTTCAGACACAAATATTAGGGAAAGAAGCATGTACTGCACCAGTCCCCATGTTCCACTATCCTAGAGTGAGAGAGGCATGTTCACTACCCCAGACTGGTAAAACTTCACTGAAACACTTGTTTCCACTTTGGGATACTTTTGCGATAACAAAAAACAAGAGAATGTGCAGAGACTTCAGCAAAGAATGATGAAGAAAGATCGGTAAAATCGGTAAAAGCTACTGATTCTCAACAACAAAAGATGGTAAGTCCTTCAGTGCATAAAAAGCTATTGTGGCAGTAAAAGTTGATTTAGGCAACAGCTAAAATACAAAAGATAAGGGTCCACAAATGAAATCAGTTAAGTTTAATACAAAAAGAAGATAAACTTTCTCAAAGCAAGTTGTTGACACGTGCATCTTATTGTATTGGCCATGGATGCTGTTGATTTTTTTTTTTAAGCTTACCTAAAGCATATGTATCAGTTATTACTAATCTAATCCAGTAGGTCTCTTTTTGTATTTCTAAAGCATTTAATCTGTTCTCCATGTTCAGTGGATAAGACAATGGGGAAAAAAAAGTAAGCAAACAATTAGATCTGTATTTTAGCACAAAAGATTTGTTTAAACATTAGAAAAAAAAAATAAATAAGCTCGAGAATAGAAAAGTACTGAATTGCCTGGGAAGATCTTACCCAAGCCTGCCTGAAGAACATACTACTATGTTAGATGTTCTCTTGAATGCTTCCTTTTCAGGAAGCATCTGGCATTGTAATACTTGAATAGTCAACAGCCTGTCCTCAACTGTGGCTATTCCACTTAACAAAGCAGGATATTTAGTCAGGTATTCATTGCTTTAACTGGCCATTAGTCAGTCACACTGTCTGAGTCTTGCAGAACAACAGAGAGCTCTTTTTTTTTGCTCAGTTTTGTAGTACTTATCCCAGTAACTCTTCTACTGAAAGGAGGAAAAACAAGAACAGAAGAGCTGATGCTAAGACTTTTGAGAAGATGTAAACCCTAGATTGAAGATTCCTTGGCTGCCATCCAACAGCAAAGTCTTTGTCTGAGTCAAGGATTCCATGCCTGACTAGAATAGGTTTTGGGAAGACCGAGAAGGGACATATTACACCTGGTCCCTGAAAGAACTTCCTAGCTGCAGAACTCTTTACAACTGTTAAGACGTGGACAGAAAAAAAAAAAAAAAAAAAAAAAAGTAGTTCATATCCTAATACAGTGCCACAAACCTGTGACAGTTAAACGAGCTGTTAGCAGAAGTTTCATTCATGTTCTGCAACAGGGTGTTTCCCCTTCCCTCCCAGCTCAAGGAGCGTGTAGTAGCATTGGAAAATGCTCAGCCCAATTTTGGAAAACAAAGTGACACTAGCAACAAACCTGAGATAATAAGAACATGGAAAATCGATGATGGTGTGAGTAAGCAATGTGGACAAGAGCCATGCGATACTCTTGAGTGATGGCGTAGAAACCACTCCCTGATGCGTAACTTCCTAAAAGTGTAGACAGAGGTGGGGGATCCTACGTATCTTAACACAGTTGTAGGTGTGTCATATGCTTATGTGTTTATCATTACCTTGGAGCACTAAAACATTGCCCACTTCTAAACTGAAGCCAAAGTTTTCATGTATTCACATCTCTTCATAGCCTGAAGCAAACGAAAATGCTACATGTCACAATACAGTACAATCTCATGAACTGCAGTTTCCTAACATTTGTTGCATTATAATTTAGCGAGCAAGGGAAGCAGATTCAATCTCCTGACACATAAAGAACAAAGGACTTTCTTTCTCCCCCTTCTTCTATATAGAGAAGAGCTGAATTTACACCTCCCTACAACTACATCTTGGGGCATAAAACAGTGCACCATCACATAACAAAGGCCAAAAAATGCAGCAGAGAATGTCTTCCTGCCATCGCAACCTTCTGCAGTTGACTTTCTATTCTAACGGGGAGGTTAGGACACAACCGGCCGTCTCAGCAAGCGCTGCAGTGGCTGGTGGCAGATATTCCCAGAGGATCGGGGCTGGGGACTCAGCCTCCGCACCGTCACTGCTTATTTCAGGGGGCTTCATTTCAGACTAGCCATGGACTGAATGCCCTTGAGCAGCTGCGACTTCTTAGGGGTGTTGTTAGCGCACAGTTCTCAGTTCAATCTTATCCAAACGGAATATCCAGCTCATAGGCTCTGGGACCGCTCCACAACACGAGCCATTAGGTCTATTAGCGCAGCAAGAGGGGCTGATCCCCTTCAAAAGCATATTTCCGGACCACGCTAAAATGCTAGCATAGGAATTACTAGCTCCTACATTAGCAATATGTTCCCCGGTTTCGATTCCCGCCCTAGATCCTCCCTCGTTCCTGCTGCCCTGCCTTAGGGATCGCCTCATTTCCCGAGGAGCCCCCGGGGCGGCGGCAACGACCGCCGCGCACATCGATGACTCGGCGCTCACGCGCCCTGGCTTTCCTCGCCCGGCGCCGCCGGCACGGCAAACCCATCGAGGAGTCGGCGTTCGACTCGCGGCTAGGTCCCCCGTGCCCGCGGCGCCATTTTGAAGCGGGGCGGCACCGGGCACCGCGGCACCCCGCAGCCGGTAGGAGCGGGGAGGAGGGGGAACCCTCTGCCTGCCCCGCTGCTCCCCGGCTGCCCTCGGCCGGGCCGGGCCGTGCGTGGCGGCGGGGCGCCGGGTGGGCAGCGCGCGCTCCCGGCGGCCGCGCCACGCCGCGCGCGTGCCCCGCAGTGGCTGCGGCAGCGCGGACCGCTGCCCGGCGCGGCGCATGCGCGGGAGCGCCGCCGCCGCTGCATGGGGCGCCCGCTCTTGTTTTCCCCCTTGCAGGAGGAGGAGGAAGATGCCGGGGAAGCTGAAGGTCAAGATCGTGGCCGGGCGCCATTTGCCCGTGATGGACCGCGCCAGCGACCTGACCGACGCCTTCGTGGAGGTTTGCGGGAGCGAGGGAGGGGAGCCGCGACCCCTGCGCACCTGCCCGGCCCTGGCGGCGGCCCGACCGGCTGCCGCCCCGCGCACGCAGGGCGCTTCCCGGCGCGCGCCGCGCTCCTAACGGCCGCGCGCGGCCGTTGGTGGCGTCGCCTCCGAGGCGGAGGGGGGGGGGCAGCGAGGCCGCGCTCGTCCCACCTGCCACAGCGCGGGGGCGAGGCGCGCCCCGAGCCCGGGGCTGCTGCCTCTCCGTCCAGCCTTATCACTGTCTGCCGCCTCTTTATTCGCTTATTTTTAAAGCCTCTGGTGACGACCGTTAGTGAGCGGCTCTAGCTGATACGTGAGCCCAGTGGAGTCCGTTGCAAGTTGCAGTACATCTGTTGTGAGCAGTAAAAACAGGTCTTACGTCAGACGACGTGTTTGTGCTTCAGAACGTGAAGCGCACAGTGGCTCTGCAGGCTTCACTCTCAAGGCCCACGTTCAGATTTTTTTTTTTAAAGCGTTAAATCTAATGGAAGGACGGTTCTTATTGTGGGCAAATACTTAATTGAACGTTTAGATTGTTTCCTTGTACTGGAAGTATCTACTGTTAACCAATCTCTACGTAGTTGATAGGAAATATACCTAAGGAATTTCTTAGGAAGGGATTGTAAAATGAACTGACATCCTTCTGTTTTTTGGTTCAGTATTTCCAGTGCAATTAATTTAGAGCAGTTTCAATAAAATGCCATAGATTCAGAAGATCATAATTTTAGAAGAAATTAGAGAATTTAAAAATGGATGTTAAAGGAATACAAGCCTTTACTGTAAACAGTAATTGATATTAGCATGACACTGGAATTAAGGTCTAGTTGTATATGTAAAGTCTTTCCAGAGCTGTGCAGTTTAGAAAATCCGTTAGTATTGATTTCAGAATAGATTTTGGACATTTCAGTCTAAATTGAGTTTGTTGCTTAAAATTCAGTTGACAGTAGACACTATATTACTTTGTGGGACAATAAATAATTAAAATATATTTTTGACATGCTCTTTAATGGAGTTGAAATAGAATTTAATAATTGTATTAAATAAGTGAAAATGATTTAATTTTCACAGAATTACAGAATAGTTGAGATTGGAAGGGACCTCTAGAGGTCATCTAGTCCAACCCCCCTGCTCAAACAGGGACATCTAGAGCACGTTGTACTCTATAATTTTGCATTACAGTGTTTGTTTTCAAATGTCTCAATATGCTTAATCTATAAATTGCTCCTCTTGTAATTTTAAATTTGGTTGAAAGCCAGCCTAGAGCAATTCTTCTATTTTTCACCATGTTCAGTTTGCTTATCTGGTTTACTCTGCAGCTTCATGTTCATTTTGGCACAAGTAAGGCAGAAGAAATACATAGGTTAGGTCATTCTTTTTAGACTAGTAAGTACAGAAGGTATTGAGAGGGTGGGAACCATCCTTTCCACCCAGGGAGTAGGTGAGACAGCAGGGGAGATTTATGTCAAAATAAACTGCTATTGAAACTATGGTTTTATTATAATCATACTTATATGGATACTAGAAGTCTTCTGCTTTTATTTTTTATTCTTTTCCAGTGCAAATACTATTTTGTAATGTTAACTGGTTGATTAGTGTTAATTTCTCTTTTTTAGTATAATCTGGAATTAAGAAAGAAAAGGAGGACAGAATTCAGAGCTCTTCCAAATCCGTGATTGGAAGCAATTTTATCTCTACAATTGTGCTTCTAAATTTGAAGAGCAGACTGCAATGCAGTGCATAGTTGCTGTGCTATCTTTAAAGCACTGGCTAGACTGCAGGAGAAGTTTAGTTGTAGCCGCTTAGGGCTCCAAAGGAACTAATTTACTCTGCTAAATAACACGCAGAATTAGTCCAGGTGGAGCTCAGGACTGTGGCATGCTGGCTACTCATGGTATATGAGGTAGCTCAAAGTAGCATCAGTATCCCTTTATTATAGTGCTTTGCCCCATATGGTATTATGAAATACCATAATAGCTGAAATAATTCCAGAAACTGCAGGCACTGGATATTAGACTGTATATTAGACACTGATCACTAAATTCACAGCAGGAAGGGAAAACATCTTTATTTCTATTTATTATTTTTGATTTATTTCAGTTATTGTGTAGTGTGCATCTGTGGATACAGTATATGTTAAGAAATCTATTTAGGAATATTACCATTTTAGTTCTGAATTTGTTTCATAACTTGCCAGTAAAGCCCATTTAGAAATCCTAGAGGACACAATTATTTTACATAAATTATTGAATGAATAATCAGGAATTGTTTTGCTTAACATAGTTATAAAGCAAAGGCAAGCGACTGCAAAGAGAGCATACCAAGGGATTGTCAGTAGCCAAAAAAGCTGTAGTTTTAACTGTAAAGTGGAGAAAAGAAAAAGTGCTTAGAGAATTTTTTTTTAAGTGTTGATGATATGTAGAAAGTTACCTATTGATGCATGTGAATCGATTCAGAAAGCCACTGTCACTGAGGATTCCCTGATATTAATGAAATATATATTTGAATTATCTGCACATATGGATAAAATATGGGTAACTCATTTTTCTAAATTTATTTATTAGTGTTTTATTTGTATTTGAATGCTTGTGTTTTTAGGTAAAATTTGGAAATACAACATTTAAGACGGATGTGTATCCCAAATCGCTCAATCCTCAGTGGAATTCTGAATGGTTTAAATTTGAAGTAAGTATTCTTTAGTGATCACCTGTATGGCTACTCTGCCTTAGGGACTCTTAGTGAATTTGCTTTATTTCAGGGTGAAAATAGGAGTTTTGAGAAATGAGGCTGTTACTGTTTAAATACACATGAAACCTTTTCAGGAAGATTACCTGAAGTTAGACTTTGATTGCTAGAGGTGTGTGAGAGAGACACCAGAGCATCTCAGCATTGGCTTTTCTAGAACTGTTTTGTGGGTAAGAACTTGCCATCTTGGCTGCAACTCAGAGTAATGGGTAATGATAGAAGAGATAAAGGTAAAAATGAAAAGAGAAAAAAAAACCCACAACAAAACCACATTATCTGTTTGACCACCTCATATCACAGACTCACCGAATGGTTAAGATTGGAAGGGACCTGTAGAGATCATCTATTCCAACCCCCCTGCTCCAGCAGGGACACCTAGAGCACGGGCACAGGGCGGCATCCAGGTGGGTTTTGAAGACCTCCGGAGAAGGAGACTCCACAGCCTCCCTGGGCAGCCTGTTTCAGGGCTCTGTCACTCTTACAGTGAAGAAGTTCTTCCTCACGTGGAGATGGAACTGCCTGTGTTGCAGCTTGCACCCATTTCCTCTAGTCCTGTCACTGGCCACCACTGAGAAGAGCTTGGCCCCTTCCTCCCTACATTCCCCCTTCATGTTCTTATACATATTAATCAAAATCAGTCATATTAATTATACATATTACATATCAATATGGGTATTTATTTAATAATTTAGAGTAAGGAAAGTTAACTGGTATTTGGAATATGCTTGGAGTTTTTAGTTATTACCGTAATGCCTTTAACAAAGGAAAACAGGAGCATTTTGTTTAGAAATTACAAAATATAAAGCTTTAGGATGGCATTTATTAATGCCTTCATTTCCCTTTTGTTTGCATAAGGATGAGGCTGCTTGGCATTTTCCTGTGCTAATTGGTTAATTTGAGCTGAATATAGCAGTAGCAGAGCTGCCCTTTGACGTTCTGCCCTGAACAAGTACTTAGTGTTGTTTTGTTTGTTTGTTACTACGTTCGTTTCAAAACAGATTGTTAATCAACATTGAATGTTTGATGAAGAGAATAGAATTGTGATATGAAAGTTCACTTACTTTAATTTTTATCTAGCAATTCCTGACTTCTTTTTTGGAGAGAGGGAAGGACTAGCTGATCTGTGTGGACTATTAACTATTCATACAGAAAGAGTTTTTTGACAATAACAGAAGTCTCAAAATTGTATCTTTTTACATGGCAAATGGATTTGGGAAAGAAAGAGCCAAAGAGCAGCATTGAAAAAGAAATCAGAATTCCACATTTCAAAGAGTAGAAAAACAGTGATTGTTTAACACATTGTGTGTGTGTGTGTGTGTTTGGTTTGATCAGTTTGCCAGGCTACCTGTTAAAATTCTGCAAATGTTTATTATGAGTCATACCATTATGTTTGGCTAAGTCTAATTCCTGGTTTATGAATTTTAGCACAGAAAGTTAGTTGTATGTTCTTCTAAAAATATAATTGAAGTATCTGAATATGGATAATTGCATTTATTTAAGAAAGTGCATGTGTGAAATTACTGTTTTTGTTTTGTTTTTGCAATGGATTATATTAAATGTCTTTAGGATTTATAGTCAATATAGAGTGTGTGCCGAAAAGAAAAAAATCACGTGGAATTTTAGAATGTATAATCTCTATAATTTTGCTTTTTTGTTTTTCTGTTTTGTTTTGTCCCAGTCATAACTTCTGGTTTGAGATGTTATCACTATATGAAGGGTAATAATCAAAATAAGTGAATGTGTTGTTTACCTAGAGGAAATAAAATTAGAGATCTTTGTCGTATTATTGTAGATAAATGACTTGTATCTTCTTGCTTTTGTTTTTTCAGCAGTGTTTCCTTGCTTTTTCTTTATATTCACCTTTCATGTCAACATTTCTTTCTAGGTAGATGATGAAGAACTACAAGATGAACCTCTCCAGATCACAGTTCTTGATCATGATACGTACAGTGCTAATGATGCCATTGGCAAAGTGTACATAGACATTGATCCTTTGCTCTATAGTGAGGCAGCAACAGTTATATCAGGATGGTTTCCCATTTATGATACCATCCATGGTAAGGCTTGCTGATTTAGAAGTAACATTATGTTGTTTGAGATGCAGCCTACTTAAGATGTTCATTTCTTCAAACTGTCTTTTGAGATCTGTAATAATATAGTCATAGTAGGTAGAATGCTACCATTTTGGGGCTTTTTTCCATATTAGATCTTTACTAAGATAAAGTGCAACTTAAAAATCAGGGACAATTATACTTTTAGGATACTTTTTTTAAATACCAATTGTATAGAAATGATGTCTAAAATTTCTAGCCTGAGAATTCAGTAGTTCAGAATAATGCTTTGTCTCAAGTTCTATGAAAAGCATTTGGCAAACAGAAGAACATTTTCATGTGTTAGTTAAAGTAATTACTGTGAAATTTAATTTATTCTTTTTTTTTCCACAACTACTGCTACCCAAAGAATATACTCTTGCTGAAGTCACTTGCGGTGTTCCCTTCTGGTATGCTAGACAAACTTCAGTTGAAATGGAGGGATAGGATGTAACAACTTTCCAGTATAAAGTACAGCATGGTACTCGTTCCCCCCTCCCCCTTAAGAACATACTCACACTCCTAGATAGAATTCTTCAAAATACTTGAATTGAGAGAATGAAGGTAGTAATACTTCTGAACTTAACGAAGCTGAGCTTTCATGCAGAATGTCAGGGTTGGTTCATAGCAAGTTACTTTCTTTAGTGCCTTATTGCAGAACATCTGTTTTTAGTCTGTGATTAAGACCTGATTTTTTTATCTAATAATAAACCCAGTGATTTAACTATATTAAAGTTAATTACAAATTATTAGTGGGAAAGCATTTTTTATATAATCATAAAAATATTTTGAATCTGTTGTAGCAGTCATATTGACAGTTTTTTTAGAAGTGCTGCATGCATTTTTTTAATTCTATCCAGATTTTTCCTATCTTATTCTCTTTCATATCATACATTTTATTTTAAAGTTGATCTAGGTGAACATTGTATTGTCTTTGAACCATGTGCAACTTCTGTGACAGAGAGAAACTAAATTTCTCCCTGTTTTTCTAGGTACGGTACTTTTTAGCTTCTCTATTCAAGTGAAATAAGAATTCTTATATTTTCATGTTTGTTTCAGTAGATTCCAATTACCTTGATTCTTGTCAGACAGTAACTGACGCTTAAAAAAAAAATCTGCATAATGCAGACTTGTATTTTGAAAAAGAAAATGACTTTCCTTGTACTTTACCGTGGCTGTTTGTGAAAATACCTAAACCTGATATAGTTCTTACTGAAGTAAGTGAATGCTTCTTTCTACTGACATTTTGGAAGATAGATCTGGGTGACTTTATTGCACTAATGTCAGAGATAATCTACAAAGCACATACTTTTGCTCACTTTTTTTGCTATTGAGTACCAGATATTTAGGTGGTAAAGGCTTTTGAAGTCACTAGAGATCAGACTCATCAAGAAGCTTAGCCCTCAATGTGTCAGAATCTATAATAAAGTGACACAAAATATTTTTCATTCCTAGGTAGGGAAAAAAGGAGAAAGTTCAGGAGAGAAACATAATAAAATCAAAAAGGACTAGATGTATTTTGAAGAAATATTTCTTTATTAACAAGATTTAGTTATGATTGAAAAATTAAGCTCGGTCTAGGAAGTCTGTTGTACCTTTATTTCTTCTAAGGGACAAAGTATTAGACAAAGTTTTTGATAAGCATTTAATATGCCTATTCTGTGGTACTCAAAAATTTACACTCTCGTGTTGTGGCACTCTTAAATTTGTTCATTAGAATCAACTGCAGAGAGCAGCCTTACTGTGATCTCAAAAACATTTAAGGGAGAAAAGCGTGGAAAACTTTTAATGTTATTTAATGATTTTTGATATGGCCAAGCTTCCAGTTCAAGTCACCTGCAATGCCTTTCAAGTTACCTTTCGTACCTAGGATATCTGGGGAGAGTGTCAGGAGATCCCAGATGCCAGTTTTATACTCTTGCTGTGTTGCAGATGCAGGGCAAGAGAGCTGAAGGAACACTTGCTCACTGGAGCAGGGACCATTACTGTAGCAGGAGGCTAATGCCTTCTCTTTCACCAGTCCCATCCCTCCTCTAAAATGTTGTTTGGAGTAGCAGGTACTTTGGGAACAGTACATGTTAGACTTCAGCCTCAAAAGCTGCCCTGGCCTTGGAGACTGTTGGCAGAACCGCAAGGCAAGGAAGTGTCTTCCTGCTGCACTGGTCTGGCCTAGGATTGATACATGACCTGCAAAATGAACGGTGCTGTTTTAGCAGGGACATGAATTGTCAAGAAAGAACTAACTCAATTGTGCATTAGTTACTAATCATATAGAATAGTACATAGAGTTCTGAATTGATTTCTGGTACAGCTTCTCATTTTTTGTGTGTTTTTGTTTTGTTTTTTTTTGCCTACAGGTATACGTGGGGAGATCAATGTGGTGGTGAAAGTAGATCTCTTCAATGATTTGAACAGATTTAGGCAGTCATCCTGTGGAGTCAAATTTTTTTGCAGTAAGTAGAGGGAAAAAGTTTATCTGGACACAAATCTTTTTTTTTCTTCCTTTCCTATTCTGTCAGTTTCTTTTCTCTCCCCAGTCCACTGCAAATATATGGCAAATATTATAGATGTATTTTTTTTAAAATTAATTTCTGCTATTTATATCTTGAAAAATGTAGGTCATTCTTTGCATGTCTGGAGTTGCATTTCATTGCATGATGCATATTCACCTTAAGCTACTTTGTATGTATATTTTGTTCGAGAGACACAAGTGAAAAGATTTCCTAATGGTACATGCTGAAACAGAGCTGTGTGTGAGATACACTGGACAATTATCGGTGTTCTGTGGTCTTCCAGAACAAAACTGCCTGGATATGTCTGGATTCTGACAGAAAGAAAGCTATACAGATTAGTTTCTGAAAGCATTCATACCCCTTTTTAGGTGTAATTTTATTTTTTTCCTTTGAAATCTTAACTCTTTGACTTAGAGTTTACATCCTTAAACTGTTTTCTTTTTTTAAATTTAAACAGCTACATCTATTCCCAAGTGTTACAGAGCAGTAATAATACATGGATTTGTGGAAGAGCTTGTAGTTAATGAAGACCCAGAGTACCAGTGGATAGACCGAATTCGTACACCACGGGCATCAAATGAGGCTAGACAAAGACTTATTTCTCTAATGTCAGGTATTAAACATGTAAGCTCTACTTGTGATTGCTGCTATTTTGAAATATCTACCTTCTAATATAGATTATTTAAAATAAAATTGTGAATTTTGGTATTAACTATGTATATTTTTTCAGTTCACACTACTCAGTTTCTGAAGTTTCTTTGTCCTAACTGATGGTCAGTATTGCTGATTCTTTGTTTGCCTTGGTGAGCTATGCTGCTGCTTACTTAATCTATTGGTTGTTTTTAGGAAGGTCTAGGAAACCTCTGGAGCTCTCCAAAAGATGATCTTTATAACTCATCCGAGGAGTCTAGGTTATTAGTTCAGATTACTGCAATTTTACTCTTAATGACTAAGAATGTAAACAACTCCAGCACCCCTTGTACTGCGTTTGATATGTGAGCAGTCTATGTAAACACCATCTCGGATTTAGTATGACAGAACTTATCTTTTTCAGAGTCAAGATTGCTTCAGTGTTTCTCAAGCACACATTTGTATAATTGCATCTGTTTTGTAGAGCAGATCTTTAATTCTCAAGAGACCAGTTATTAAAAGCCCATATGGCATCAAGAATCTTCAAAAACTTCTTTGTTGCTGTAATGTTTATGAAGACCAGTTGTGAAAAAAGATCCCGATGATGTCAGTGTAGCACAACATAAGGCCCCTCCACTAGACGACTTAGGGAAACTAAGATATTTTGCACCTAATACAGAGGCTGTCCAACTGCAGAGGTCAATGAACTTCTATTTTTTTCCTTATAGTTACAGTTTTGCAATCTCTTTTGTGTGCAGTTAATAGAAAAATGGAGAAAATATAGGCATGTGTTGGTTGTCATATTTTGTTCTTAAGCAAGATTAATGAAAAACATTAAAGAAATTAAAGCATCGTTTTAGGTTGAAAGATGCTTTAGTTTTAAGAATTTTTAAATGAAAGAAGAACAGTAAATATCTTCATGTTGCTTTCAAAGGTGCTTCATTGGTATGAATTATATAAAGGAGCATTTAGAAAATTTCTTGTGTTCCAACACACATTTTGGCATCTCTTTCGCTATAAATGTTAGAAAATGGAAAAAGCTAATGAAGTTGAAAAGGAGAAAGAACACTTCTGAAAGACAAATAGAATAGATTTGGAAAAAAGCTATGCAACATCAGGTAATTAATAAGCAGAAGTTGTGATCTAGTTGGTATAATTAAGTATTATGGATTATGTATGAGTCTATTAGCAGCTTTCTTGACTCTGTAATTCCAAAAATTAGAGAAAGCCCCGAAAATGATACAGTGAAAAGTAGTTTGTACAATTATGAGCTCTTTACCTACTGTTTTATAGGTGAACTGCAAAGGAAGATTGGCTTGAAGGTACTTGAAATGAGAGGAAATGCTGTTGTTGGCTATTTGCAGTGTTTTGATTTGGAGGGAGAATCTGGACTAGTAGTACGTGCCATAGGAACAGCCTGTACCTTGGATAAATTAAGTAGCACATCGGCATCCTTACCTGCATGTAACTCCCCATCCAAAGAAATGAAGGAGTAAGTATGAATTAATAGTTTGTAGAGGAATAAGTTTCATCTTTCTTCTTTTCATACTCATTTGGTTTTGCATAACCAGTGTGTTTTTTTTTCTTTTCCCCCCAGAATTTGTTTTTCCTTTTGCAGTTTTATTTGTCTGCAACTCAGTCTGTATTTCACAACTTCGAAATGTTATAAGTTGGGTTACTTGCACTGTTTCCTTAGGAGCTGCAATGGTAAACCTTAATATGACAGTGTAACTTTTTTTTTCTGTTTATACAGCAGAGATATTGCACAGTCCTGGGTTGTGATCCACCAGTTTCCTAGCTAATAACTAGTTCTGCCTTGACTCTGTATTTGTATATTAAGCATTTTTGTTTGTGAGGATTTCTTATGAAAAACCTTTTGTATGAGACTTTCCAGTTCTGATACTATCATGTTTGACTTCTAATTCTGAGCATCTAAAAAAAGATAAATTTACATTTAAATTCAGACAGTTCAGTGGTTTAGAGAATGACCCTGTAATATTCTTATCTTGCATGTCTTGCTTTTTACCATTGCAAAGTTAACAATAGAGGATACTAGGGTGTGCTTGCATGGGGAACTTTGCATGATGAGAAATAGAATTTCATCATCCCTCACAGCAGCACCAAACACATTTTGAATACGTATTTTTAAATGCATACAGAAATAAAAGACAAATGCTTTCAATCCCTAAATTGTTAGTATATTGTTGCTTGAACAAATTAGTTATTTTCTGTTTGATAGAGGTAACCAATTTCTAGAGGGAAGAAAGAAACCCAACAAGCGTATTCTTTGTGTAAGGTTTGCAGAGGTATTATTTTGATTATGTATTGTTATTAACTTAAATTGTTACATCGTGAAGGTAATGCAGGGAGCAGTATACTATGACTTCTCAAAATTACTAATTTCTATTTCAAATCAGAGGTTTGCTTAATTTGTTTTGTTTCTAAAAATCTGCCATCAAAAGAGTTCTGGATACAGACATTGGAAAATCTCAGTGAGGATAAAGTATGAAGTGGACCTGGCAATCATAGACTTAAAAAAGCATTCCTAAATCAATAACATTCACTCTAGAGCACAATGTAGAATTTCCTTTCCACCACACAAATTATCCGTGTTCAGCAACTTGGTGGTGGATATTGAAAGAATCATTCTCCTTCTGTCCAAAAAGCGAGAATCTCAAGGCCAGCAAAGTCAACTAACACTTGTTATTACTGCCTTTGCTAACTGGATGCCCTATTGCCAAAGAAACATTTATATGTTTACAGTCTAGTGCTTAAACTGTTTCTCTCTCTGCGTGTGCGTGTGTGTGTGTGTGTGTGTTTCTGTTTCCCTCCTCCTTTCTCTATTTTTCTCTCTTTCTCATCTGGCCTCTTGCATGCTAGGAGTTACAGTTCTTAGTGTCTGCTTAAAATAAAAGATCTCCTCTAGCTAAACCTCCCTGAAATCATTTATAACATAACTTTGCAACCTGTTGTATGTATTGTTTTCTTTTCTTCCACCTTGGCTGCAAATTCTCTCAGGTCTCCGCTGGTTCATCCGCCAAGCCATGGATGCCGCTCGACTCACAACAGCCCAATTCACACTGCTACTGGCTCACGACTTACTCAGAACTTCTCTGTGTCTGTTCCCACTCTCATCTACACTGGTACGAGACTGCTCAGACTCAAGAGCTGGGGAGAGGCAGGCCACAGGCACAGTGGTCGCCAAGTGCAGGCAGGCAGGCAGTGTAGGCAGGTACCACCCATCTTTTCTCCTTCATTTTCTCATGAAGACTCTTTCTGTTGTCATTGAAGAGCTACTGTGTTCAGCTACTGAAACAAAGACAGCAGTGTCTTGGAAATAAGTGTATCCTCAGAGGCTCTTCCACAAAGCCACACTCTTTCTTCAAGTGTACTACTTCCTTTAAAAAAAAAAAAAAAAAAAAAAAAAGGAGATCTGGGGAACATCTATAATTTTTACAGCCACTGATGTTTTGATTGGAGTTCATAATTGTTTCTAATCTTAATTCAGGTATGGTACTTATGGTACTTGAGTTTTAAAATGATTATAGGAAGAGTTTGTGCTACTTGTGGAAGAGAGAGTTCTGGAGAGCAGGTAAGTCATTCTGTGCATAACCAAACTCTTTGTTAATAGAGTTGTTCCCCAAAAGGGTTTCCTCTTTGCTGTTTTTAGCTGTGGCATGTTGTTGATGCTATAGGATAAGGAAACTTTTTCTAATATATATGTGTGTATATACATAAATGTGCAAATATGTATAAACACAAATATAATTTGAGATCATTATTTTCTTTATTAAACTAACTCAAAACATTGTGCGTTTGATCAGATTTTTAAGCCATAAAGTGTCTTTTTTTTCTTTTGCATATATGATTTTTTTGATCACATCTCATGCCTTCCATTTGGCTTAATTGTTTCATTGTAGATTTTCAGCATTTAGCTATAGAATGCTGAACGGATAAACAGCATTTCTTTGCCTTTGGCCTCATTCCCAGTCTCGCACTTAAGGAATAGCTGCTGGCCCTGCCCCAATCCCATCCTGGTGTTTGGATCATGCTGCTGTCAGCCGGGTCCTTTGGCACAGGATTACTGAATATGTTTCCACCTTCTTCTGGCAGGATTCCCTTCAATGAAGATCCCAATCCCAATACTCATTCATCAGGACCCTCCACCCCTCTGAAAAACCAAACCTATTCCTTTTCACCTTCCAAGTCCTACAGTCGACAGTCCTCTTCTTCTGACACAGATTTGAGTTTGACACCCAAAACTGGTAAGGCGCTTCCACCCGCTTTTTGGTTAATTTGTGTTTCTCTCTTTATATTTTCATTTGACCCCGTTTTGCTTTTTGGCATTTGAGTTATCAAAGTGATGTGGAAAATGGAGACTTCAGATAGCACGACTGTATCTTTAAAGGCTTTCTGTAAGGTGTATGACCTGTCTATATGTCCACTAGTGTTAGGATATCATTAAATGATATTTGTAACACAAGAGAAATGTCTGCTGAAATATGGCATCTTAGGGCATTAAGGGAGTCCTAAGCATTTTTCTCTTATTTCCTCCACTTCATACTACAAATTAGAGGAATTTATTTCCTATCCTAATATACTAAGAGAGAAAGAGATCTTCTTATCCAAGCCTAATTTATTATACAATAAATGTATCTTTATTTACATGACTGATTTTTTTTAACTCCTTTTTGCAAACGTGATATTAGAAATGTATCATCTGCTGTCTGTTTAATTTCCTTGGTATGTGAAATGGCTTATAATACACAGTATCCATTTTGAAATAAGTGATTCTCTGAACACCTGAAATAATTTTTCTTTATCCATTGGATTATCATAATTTTTTGAACTTTTTTCTTTACTCCTCCTTACAGGTCAGTGATAATGTCAGCACAACTCAGAGTTGTATTCTGTGAGTTTTCTGTTATATAGTCAGTACCTTGAGTTTTTTCACTCAAAGGCAAAATATGTTGCAATATTGCTTAAAAAAAGTTGCCTTGCTTCTTAAATAGTGTTATAAATTGTGGTATATGAAGCTCAGAACATTCTTGTCTCCATCTATTCCTGACAATTTTAAAGTATATCAAATTTTATTCGGATAACTAACTTTACCTGATGGTACTTCTTTCAAGAACATTTCCAAGCTGAGAAGTTAAATGTTGCATTTGAATGGAGTTGTATTTTTACCCAGGTTATTCTTCAACATTATGTTGAAAAATATTTTGAGTTAGGAAGCTGTCTTTTTGCAGGAGAATCTTCTGTGTCTTCTTAGGGGAAAAACATGTATATATATAGATGGCAGTTTTAGCAAATAACCTGTGGTGGCCAGGAATTTTAAAGATGTAAAATTAAAACCAAATACTATGAATTCGTATGTTTGTTTTACTAAGTATTTGAAAATGTATTTCTTTTATTTGACCAGATTTTCATGGTAGGAAGCCTATGCTGCAAAGTATTTAAATGCAATGTTAATGATCATCTCTAAATTTAAATGCCTTGAAGTCCTGTCCTGAAGACTATTTCTAAGTTGGAATATCTCCATGTGAAAGTTGGTTATGTTAAAGCGTATCAGGCTTCTGTTGTGATGCATAAAACTTTACCAAACTTGAGATATCAACTACTCAGATTGCTTAATGTGAAAAGTCAAGTATTTCAATTTTTTTATTATTATTTATTTTAATTTTATTCCTCAAGTGTGTGATAATGTAATATTCTTTTCCATTTTTTTAACAGATAGCTCTTATATCTACTTGCTTATAAAATGGAGACTGAGCTGTAAAAGGAGCACAGATACCACAATTCATAATATGAGTAACTGAATAAAAAGACCAAAGTTTGGATCTGTTCAAGTGCTTTGTCTTCAGTTCCTAATCAGGAGAATATTACCTTAATTTCATTTATGAAATTCAGTTTTGATTGCATTCTTCATTCTGGCCTACATCTGGTCTAAGTTTGAGGGGAAATATTTCTGTGCTGAGAAACCTTCCTTCAGTTTGAAGTTCAGTTTCTGCTGTGAATATTGATACCTTTTATGGTACTGCAAGCTGACAGAAATACCAGGCTAACAGCAACAACAAAAAACATTAATCAACGTCTTAAAATAATGTATTTTGATGTAAAGTAGTATATGTGTGGAGGAAATTGAGATGGAAACTCTTTTTTAAAATATGTGAATTTATAGTTCTGCAAGATTCAAGACTCTAAAAATCATAACTTAAATCCATTACTGTTTTTTCCAGTAAAGAGAACTTTTTGGATTCGATTAATTAAAGCAATCACATTGCGGGTGTGAGACGAATATGTTTCTTAGACTTTACTCCACACTATTTATTTTTAATTTTTTTTTTAGATGAGATCTAAAATACATGTTAGCTTACCATGGCTTGTTAATAAAATTAATACAACTCAAAACAGCTGCTTCATGATTTTTGATAACATGCTTCTCATTCCCATTTGGAGCTGTATTGTCATTCCATTTCTTTGTGTGCTGAGAAATAGTTTAGCAATAATTGTTAGTTCATTTGGAGGGTTTTTTTTTTATTTGCTTCGTTTTGATTTCTTCCTTCTGTTTCTTTAGTCATCTTCTGAATCTACATCTTTTTGTCTCTATTACTTTCCTCCGCAGCACCTTTCCCACAGGGACCTAGGATTTTCCTGTTTCCCAGCTCCCCTACACTCTCTTGTGGTTCCCCACATCTTAAAAAGTCCAGTGTCCTCCTCTCGGGGTGTAGCCTTAACCCCCTCCACTCTAGCCATGTCAGCCCAGTTGTTCTGAGGAAAAGTGTTTCTTTCACTGAAGAGCTGCTTCTGGCTGCTTCTGGTAGGATCAATGTATTATGGCCTTTTAAACAGACTTTTGAGGAAATGTTGTTGTTGTTTGATAAGGGGGCATTTAACACACAGCCTTCTATAGTCCTTTTTTTTTTTTTTTTTTTTTTTTAAATTAACCTCTGAAAACTGCTGGCTACATGACTATTCGTACCACCTCTCGATGTGTGCCCCAGAGGCTTGTGGCAGCTTTGGAACTTGTCTTACAGGATGTGAAACAAACACATAGTTTATCCCACTGAACTTTCTCACTTCCATTTCAGAATTTCTTTTCGTATTGATAATTGGACTAAAATAAGTCACTTTTTCTTCCCCATTCCCTTCAATTTGTTGTTGCTACATTTTGCATGGAGCAAGCACTTGCTCATTAATTCATAATTTGTTGACAACTGACCATCACATGGCTGGCCGTTCTGCCCTGCAAATTAATGTGTTTCAAACCAAGTCCATACAAACGTACTGCTTCCTTTTCCATTTCACTGGCATGTGTTATATTCATAGGCTTCAATTAAATAGTTGATACAACTACTTTTCTTTATGTGTAGAAACTGTTTTGTTTTGACTTTGTTTCATATCCGGTATTTATGCCATGCTTGTCTGTATTGAATATTGTATAGTCCCTAAAAATGATATTTACAATCAATACCAAATAATGGCAATGAATTAAATCTTGTTTAACGGGACTATGCAGATGCTAAGTTTTTGTTTCCTTATCCAAAAACAGCTAAAAATGTTTAATAGCAATTACAATATTTATATATATTTATATATGGTAATGATAGTGTGGTCATTTTTGAAAATGGTAGGGGTGAAATAAGTCCAATATTATTTCCAGTTCTCCCTGTGTTTGGTTAAAAACAAACAAGTGCATTCCTGTTTACATATCAAATCTCACTCTTGTTTATTACATGCTTAATGAGAAGAGAAAGGAAACTAGCAAGGAACTATCATGTTAATATAGTTATAGGTTTTGTAAAAATCTTGTTTTCATATATAATTGTTTGCATTGTGGTGTGTCTCTATTACATCTTGCTCCTAACACTCTTTGGTTCTTTGTTCTTTGCTTTTCTTAATGCTTTCTTAGATAACTTAAGTGTTTGTTTTTGCTTTGTCAAATTAGCGCTGATGGCTTTAGATGCAAGAAATACCCTTGATAGTATGTTTTTAGGCATGAAATGCTTTCTAGATAATCTTTCACCAGCATTGTGTTATCTTAGGAGAAACACAATCTTGGTATGTGTTTTTTTTTTAAATTTTATTGTATTTTTGTGACTTGTAACCATAGAGCAATAATGTATTGCCATACATATATCCTGCATCTTGCCACAGTCTCTTAAAAAAGAATTTCTTGATAACAGATCCCTCTATAAAAAATATAACTGTATGTGATAGACTGGCCAGCTCTTCAAAAGCTGGTGATTCTTGGGGGAGGAATGAAAGGTGTGAAAGAAAGGGAGAAGAAAGAAAGAAAGATAGATGGTGGAAGTAGTGGGTAGGATAGAAACATCAGAAGTAGCATAAAAATCACCCCATGCAACCCATATTATTCTAAATCAGAGTTCATGTCTTTTTTTAATTTACAGATACTCTGCAGGTTATATGTGTGAAAATACAATAATGAAATAAATATGGCAGTTTTATATGCTTAGCAGTAGTCCTTGGCTGATCTGGGTAAAACAGATGAGTGAATTTTTAAATGCGAGATGTTGAAGGAAAAAAAAAATGAGTTTGCATTTCAAATCAAAAGAGGTACATAGCTTTTGAAATATTCTGGTTAGTACAATCATGCAGTATAAAGCCTCTACTGAAATTACGTGTCCAGCCTCCTCCCGGAGAGAGCAGTGTGGAATCTAACGGTGATCTGCAGCACTTTGTCGTAAAGGCTGAAACACTTGATTGTCTAGGAACTTCCTGTGAAAAAGAGAGAATGTGGAGGTGCATTTATTGATATCATAGATTAAAAAAAAAAAAACCTAATAGCGGCAAAAATTAAAAAAAAAAAAAAGGATTTTCTTATAAGTAAATAAGAATTGCAAGTCTTAGTTTCAAATGCTTTGAAGTTCTTCATACTGACAGCACAAAAAGATCTTAGTTCAGGATTTTTTTTTTTCCCCAAATCCTTAAAGTTTAACAGCATTGCTAGTTATATTTGAGGAGGGGAGAAAAGCCCAAAACTTAAATTGTGATGCTCAGTATTTTCCTTCCAAAACCTTAGTGGAATGTTTGAGTGTGTTTTGAAGCATGTTTTTGTATTATCTTTAATGCAAGTTTGATACAGATTGTAACTTTTTTTTTTTTGGATGTTATTTGTACTGATACTCTTCAGGAATGGGCAGTGGGAGTGCTGGAAAAGAAGGGGGGCCATTTAAAACTCTTTTAAGACAACAGACTCAGTCAGCTCTGGAGCAAAGGGTAAGGCATATATGAAGTATTTTACTTATTTCTGTTTTGCTAAAGTGGCAACTTAGCTTTGGGTAAGGTAAATATTTCTTGTTAGTTTGTTTGAAAGACAGGCATAGCTTTAATGCCTTTTATATCTGCGTGTGTTGAACATTTAATAGCCTTTTTACATACAAATGATGTTGAAGTTTAATACATGACCAATGCATTAAGAACAAGAGTGGAGCAAAAAAGTGCAGTGTACACAGCACTCCAATGGTTCTAGCTGGTGGGTGAGAAACAGTTGTTTTTTTCTGTTTTTTGTCTTCGTATATTACTGTTGCATGTGTCAGTTGGCTGCTTTTAACATTTTATATTTAATTAAATTTGATAGAAGTCAAGCTGAAAAAATATTGCCATAGCTTTCAACAAGGTGATAACTACATCTGTAGTCGAGAAAACTTTTAATTTTGAAAAAATAAAATTGGTAGCGTAATTCAGGCTGTATTCTATTACAGGAAATCCTGTGCATGTAGTTTATATGTAACTCTTAAAAAAAAAAAAAAGATTCTGAAACAATAAAAGGGCTTTGAAAGGTTAAAGACTTTAGAAGAACCTCTGTGAGACTAAGAAACACCATGTATTTTTATGTTGTCAGTCTACAGTGGATAGAATTCACAGTAAAAATAGGGCTGTTCATTTCAGATTTTTTTTTTATTTTTTAAACACATAATGTACTGCTATTGTCAAAATGCTGTGTTATTGGTTAAGTCCTTTGAAGTCTTGCCCTTTGAAGATTGATTTAAATGTAATCAGAATTTCTCTCTGTCTCAACTGCTTAGTACCACATTATATTTTTGAAAACAAAATGAGCTGCGTGTGTGCAATGTAAGTGAAGTGCTACTATTTTGAGTAAGTGGATGATTCTCTTTTTTTTTTGTGTTATCCATTGCTAAGGGAGGATCGCCTCATAGGTTCTGTAGAAGGCGGGTATGTTCCAAAACATTGTGACTTCTTTGTAGCCTTTTTTATATTGTATTGAGGATTTCTGATATTTCAACGCTCATTTTTTTTTTTTTTTTTTTTAAAGCATTTCGGGAGACTCCTTTACAATCTTGATCATTCAAGGGTTTTATATTTTTGCTCTCTTTTTTTTTTTAAAGACCATTTATTAGATCAGCATATTTTATCATAACTAGTATTTTGCATGTTTGTACATCTCAATTAACATTTTAATTTCTTTTTAAATAAAAGTCCATGACTTTTTGCTTTTAGCGTTTTAATTTGAAAATAAACCAACACTTTAAAAAGATTCTTTTCCCTGTCAACCCTTGTCTCAACTAGCATTTTAGACATTTCATGCCAAATTGCTCTTGTCTTTAGAAAACTTTCTAAAAACATCTTAAAATTGTAAAGTAAGAACACAGGGTATTTTTACAGCTTCAGTGGTTTGCATCTTGCTCTGGTAAGATATTGCCTGGTGAAGAAAATGTGGTAAAATGGGGTGGAAACTTGTTGGATCAATTATTAATGATAAGATAGTGATGCCATTACCAAGCCTGTGGTCTGTTAGGCGCTACTGAGAATGCAATCACGATACTTTTATGAGAATTTCCTGCTGGATGGCTCTTTTGCTGCAGTCACTTCTCTTTCAGTTGCTTAACTAGAGTGAATAACAAAGTTTCAGGGGGAGTGATATTTAGCTCGAAATGTCTTTGGAGCTCAGAGGATAACTTGTTTGTTTTAATGTTATTCATGTAAGTAGTGCACTTTATGTATATTGGGATAACATTTGTTTAGGAGAAAAAAGGGAATAAATTTGAGATGTATGTTATATTTTTGTGTATATTAGCAATACACTAAGTTGTTTTGGGACATATTAAGATTATTTGGAAATATTGTACTGTTAAGACATTTCAAATGATTCCTTTAACTGGATATATTAGCATTTTGGTAGTTTTCAGTTTTGGTGTATCACTTAACCCAAACTATAAACTGTAATAGATTCTGTTGTAAAGGTAATCTTGATCTTTTTTTTTTCCTGGAAGAATACACCAGCCTTGAAATGCATATGCTCTTTATATTTACATTACTATGCTATAGCAATCACAATATGCATGTCAGTAGTAGTTGCAACTACAGCAGAGCTATCTTAGAATATCTTTTTAACTATAAATGTATGGATTATATGCCTGCCATTGTGCAATTTTGAGTTTACTTTAATGGTGGAAAATTAGCCTTGGGTATTTGTACAGATGTCCAAATGTTGTTCTTACTTGCATTTTATATCTCCGACCTCAGCTTGGACAAATGCGCTTATTTTTCCGTGTTTGCATCCTGCAAGTGCCTGGGAGAGTCGTTCCCGCTTTCTTTTCCAAGTGCCCTGGGCTCCAACTGCGGGGGGGCGCCGCTGCAGCCAAGCAGCCGCCCCTCTGCAGCTCGTGCCTCAGATGCTGGCTTAAGCAACCCTTCCTTCCAGTTCTGCTGGAAAAGGAACTGCAGAATTGTTTAGTCTCCCCACAAGATGGTTCAGTGAATATGTTATGAAAAAAAAAAATCCAGAAAATTATCAATATTTTTATATAGATCAGTTGCTTATCTGATTCGGCCCATGATACTCTGTTGACGTATCTGAGCATTGTAAGTGTTATCTGTAGAAGTGGGGCAGGGATGGGAATGAATAACGGGGTAGACAGGAGACTGACAACTGCTTAAGCCAGCACTAGTAACCAAAAGGAGTGTGTGTAGTCTTGCTTCGTGTGCTCCTGCATTTCTGTGTGTTTGTGTAAAATGCAATTAAAAAAAAAGCAATGCTAGCAATACATGTATGTGCAAACAGAAACATTTTTAAGTGTTTTATTAAGCAAATAGAACGTGTCAGTTATTGACACTTATGTGACACTTATTGCAAACCTTGCCAAACTTTCTGTGCCTCACAGCTCTTAACGAACCCAGCATGATACAGGAATTGAAGGGATGAATGTCATTTTTCCAGAATCTATGTAGGCAGTAACGCTGCAATGACCTAATGAATCAGCACTGCTAAAATTGATTGTCTGCTTTCAGTGGCATGCTTTTAAAAACCAGCTTGTCATGTCTTCTGAAATACAGAGAAACATTTTATGTTTCCCATGTTTTAAAGATAGTCCATTGGAAAGTCCAGGAATAGAGAGAAAACTGTAGTATAGCAGAACTGCTTCAGATTCTTGCACATTCTGTTTTTCATGCAGTAAGTATAGCTCTAAATTTTGAAGTGTTACGGAGTATCACCCGTAGTTGAGGATGGAACCTGTATTTGCAAATAATAATTTTAAAAATCTACATGATTTAAAAAGGGAGGGAGAGAAGCCCCCCGGTTTTGACGGGCTTCCCTCTGTCAGAACGAATGAGACCCTCTTAATGGGACAAGAGCAGAGCTTCAGGGAGGCACTTTTGTCTACCTTTTTGTATGGGGCTGAATCTCATGTAGGTCTAATTGAAGCATATATCATAATATAGGTTTACATTATCCATATGTCTTGAGTGTACTGGTTGGGCAAACTGTTCCTGTTGCTTCAGAATTTTATTTGTGGATGTGGGAAATATAGGCAAATTGCAAGTTTGCATATGTTAAAACTACGCTGAGTACAGAGACTGACAGAATTGCATAAAAAACAGATATAATTTCTGAATTTCCAGGTAGATTAAAGAACATGAGATTTACTTTTTCTTTTAATAAGATTTAGAGTATGAAATATCTTGCACTTTCATGTTCACTATGTATTACGTTAGTATAATATAAATACACACTCATGTATAAGTGTAGTACAGACGTAATATAATTTAAGATTGTGTAAGCAGAAAACATTTTTTTATTGGTTCCTATAATTCTGGAAAAAAAACATTATTAATCTTCAATGTCATTAATATGGCATATCATTCAGGGGTTTGAGCAAACATTTATGTTAATTGAAATAAATGTCATGGAATTACGCAGCAGGAAGAAGGGAAATTGTCAGAATAGTTAAAGCTTGATTTGTAAAGCCAGAGTAAAAGAGGCTGCTGGCAGGGGGATGGTGCCCGGGGGAGGAGAGGAGGCCGTGTTGTGGTCAGGGCTCCCTGCCTGTTCTGGGATCACAAAAACACCCAGTGTTCGGGTGGCACCTTCTGGTGGGGTCTTTGCCCAAGCCCTCTCTGAAGAGCCTCTCTGAAGGTCTTGTGCTCCCCTTGGCAGACTCCTATGCTGAAATCTTCATGATTTCTAGGCATGACTAGCCATTTAATGTTTTAAGGCATGGCTGCAGTCCTTTTTTATTATTTTATTTATGTATTTTACTTGTAGTTGTCCATACCGTTGTTTCTGATTCTGAAGTTTGCCTCTCAATTTTTAAGTCTAGAAATCAAATGGAAATTCCCAAAACTCTTGTGGAAGATTGTGTAGGATGCTGTGAGAGCTCTAACAACCTTTCAAGGGTTGTCATAGTTCTCAAGGTGTTTTCTTGTTTTTAATCCATAGTAAGTTTTATTTTGTAAAGAGGGTATTTATATCATGTATTGCTGGAAGCACTGTGGTCATCTCTGCATCGTGAATGCTGTCAAGGTCGAGGCTCAGTTGAATGATACGTTATTGCAAGTGCCTTAAGTATGTGAGAAAGCGATATACTCTGCATTTGCTCCCATATAAAATTACAATGTTTAGTATTTTTCCATTTAACCAGTCATTATAACTCTTTATCAACTGTGATTGCATGATTTTTTTTTTTTGCCCCCAAGCACTCAGAATTGCCAGACATAAAACTATTGCCTTTCCCCCATAAGTATGCTGTAGTCCATACGTTAGGCAGTTCTAAATAGAACGTCTCTGAAGAAATGCAAAATATCCCGGTTCTGGGCCCACTTTCTTTGAATATGAGGGTATTTTATTTTTTTCTCACCATGTATGTCCTGAAGACTTTTTTTTTTTTTTTTGGTTAGTCTGTTCCTTGGATAAGCTATGTTTTTGAGCAGTGACTGAAACTTGGATTCCGATTCTTCATGTTCATTAAGAAACGTTAAAACTCACAAAGACGAAATGGGAGGTGAATTTCCTCAATTTGATTAAGAACTTAAAATCTTATTTCAAAGTCTTAGCTTTATTCTAGAAAATTGGTAATTACTGATTGCATTTTGAGCTCATGACACTAGCAGATCATTATCCTAACTTTTCTTTTGAGTAGGCTTTTGTATAATAAGGCATAAATCCTGCAAAATTACAGGTAGTTTTGCCCTGTTCTTCAGGATCAACTCTACCTCAGCTCTACGTTAGCCATAAAACACATGGAAAAATACTATTTTTTTTTTTTATCAGTTGGTGATAGTCAAATTGTTGTTCAGCTACCATCTTAAAGATAGACAAATAGATACCTTGTTAATGGTAACACATAAGGTTTGGATTATTAATTACTACCATATTGAACTGCAAATCTATGGGGGAAAAGTATTCTTACATTGAAAAACACTTCTGCTTTTATTACATTGTGTTGAGTGTATAAAGACATATGATTATATAGCGCTTAGTAAGCCTGAAGGACATTTGGCTTCATGTAACTGCTTTGCTTGAATTTTGAGGAGGTTTTGAATTCGCTGCATGTTTTATTTTTTGGGGTGGGGACTGCAGTCGGCAGTGTTTTTAAGCAGCCATGTGTTTGTTTTTAATCGTAACAGGAATTTCCATTTTTTACCTTGACGGCCTTTCCGCCCGGCTTCCTCGTGCATGTTGGTGGTGTGGTCAGTGCGCGGTCCGTGAAGCTCTTGGATCGCATTCACAATCCCGGTACGTTAACACGGAATCAAGTTTTCCCAAGTCCCAATTATCACAATGTCCCTGTATTTCTAGCCTTTGAAATGTTGTATCTACTAACATATTTATCCATTACGAAAGTCTCTACGAACAGCGTTTGTTGAAGGTAATGTTTTTCATACAAGTATTTCAGCTTCAAAAGTGTTAGTCGTTCAGAGAGTATGTTTTTAGTAAGAAATTTCTAGTAAATTAATAAGAAAAAAAATTTTGATTCTAATAACTTGGCTTATTTATTTATTATTATTTTGAATTACGAAGAGGCTGGTTATTTTTGACCACTGCTTAGTATTAAGATTTGATGCAATCTTTCTACTAAAACATAAGTAAGATGAAATAATTGGTCTAACTGCAAATGTTTTCCGTTCTTAGCTCCTTGCAATACTTCAGGACTGAGCAGCATAGTTTAGCTCAACATATGTTTTTAACCTCGTGAGAGAGAGAGAGGGGGAAAAAAAAAAACCTTTACAACTTTTTTTCAGTTCTTATTTAATAATATATACAGAACACTGCTTAAAGTATTTTTTGTTTAATATTTACTTGGGAAGTCCAGTACTGAAACATTTATGTTCTGCATGTCCTAGTTCTGACATCAGAATTGAGTTGTTTTGCCTCTGAATTCGTTATATTGACTGGAAGAAGTGGTGAGGGCTACTTTTTAAAAAGTTGGAGTTAATTAATGATCTCGAAACATGGGCAGATGAAATCAAACAGTAGCACCTGTACTGGTTTTGCACACACTTGTCAGGAGTGATCAAGTTTGTGTAAATGCATCTTTTTAGAAAACTTTTACTTCATTTTTTTTCCCATTTGTTTCATTTTTTTCTGCAAGCAGTTCTTCAGCAAGTTAAATTATTGCTGATGTAAGGAATCAATAAACCACTAGAGAAACTGGAATAAAATCCAGTAACTCAGGAAAACTAAGGGATTTTTAGAACGCCCAAATGCACAGTATTGGGGTTTTTCTTTCCCTATTTCTTAACTTTTACTCTTGACCCTACAGTGGAGAAAAGATTAAGAGAAATCTCCAGATGTATTTCAGATGTCCCCTCTGTTTCTTTGCCACAAAGTCCTCTTAAGCTTTCTGTATTTTGACGTGAATCTGATAAAGGTAACTTCTATGTTATATACTAAGTTTACTGTATTATAAATTTATTTAAGAAAAAAAAAAAAAAAAGATGCCAGTTATGCTCAGAAGTTTGCCAGAATACTTTTTGGCTTTATGCATTCTTATTTTTACCAATTGACTATAGAGATGCACACATGTATTCATGCATTTAAGTGGTTCTTTGCAGCACTTTCGAGTTTTAAATTGCTCCTGACAAGTGAATGTAAGATGCATGATACTTCAAACTCGGTATATTGCAAAACTGTAACAAAAACAACAAAAAAAGGAGAATGAAAGGTCGTAGTTAGGAATTGGAAGGGGAAGAAGTAGAAAAACATTCTGGTATAAGTGTTATCTTTTAAGCAGTTGAGTTAAGTCTATATAATATTAAAGGAGACGTTAACTGGAAGAGGAAAGAACAGTTTAAGGAGCTGCTTGAAAACCAGTGAATGATCCAATAATTGCTCTGTTCTGTCCACTTTGATCACGCCTAGTGCTAGTTTGCTATAGCATGCTCCTTTCTCCCTTTCTATTTCAGCCTCTTATTAACTCTGCTGTCTGTGTCTTTCCAGTTCCTGTGGAGTGGTCTTGTCAATTGTGTTCTTGTTGGTAGTTTTTTTTTCACTATTCTGCTCCTATAACTGATCTACTAATTTGCTGTTTTGAACTCAGCCTTTGTCGGAATTATGGGTAACACAAGATCATACAAACTGCTAGACTGGAATAGTTTCAATTCAGGTATTTGACTAGTCATTCAGTACTACATACGCTGACAGAAATTATGGCAGCTCAGTGAAGTTCTTAGCAATGCTGTAGAATGTTATTAGCTTAATGCTTCAAATTTAAATTTGTTTAACCATCGACTCAGTGTCTTACTTGCTTTAATGTTTTTAAAGGCTTCCTTTAAAATTGTGAAACACTGTTTGACTATAAAAGAGCATTGTTAATAATTTAATATCAATCTAGAAGTTGAATATTCAGATAATTTTTTAGTAGTTTTCAACTCAATGTCTGCAAAAATAACTTAGGAAAAGAGGATAGATTGTCCTTCATACAAGCAGGATAGTGTCAGGTGTGTTTTTCATGAGCTTACACTTCAGGAATAGCTCTTCTTATGATGACTTGAGGTAAATCATGAATATATTTATTCTAAAGGACATAAAGATGGACTGAGAAACCGAAAATTAGATAAGGAGAAAAATCTGTTTGCAAAAAATGGTATGTCTTGTCCAGGGTGTTTTGGTTCATAAATCTTGTATTGTAAAGTGCATTAGCTTGCCGGACTTCTGTCTTGTTATTTGAACTTCTAAAATACTCTAAAACCTAACCCCCAAAAAACCCCAATGTTCTATTTTTTAACAAAACTTAGTGACCAGAACATGTGATTTCTGTGTACAGCCGTGGAGAGAATGGAGGAGTTGGTGATAAGAGTCAGTATAAGATACTGACCTTTCCAGAGGTAAGGGGAGGGAAACAAAAGCTCTCTTCTCCCTTTTGAAACATTAGATTTCTTGGAAGAAACAAAGATTTAGCTTCTTCAGATGAAATATGCAAGCCAGCTGTCCTTGCCAGCTACTGATGCTTCTCTAAAGGTGACCTGTAGGGGTTTATTTCCTCCAGAAAAAATATCCTTCCTGTTGCTTCACTGCTGCAGTGCATTTTGTGTACTGTTTGTCTCTGGAAGTTGAGCAGTCATTCTCTACACTTCAATTTACCTATACATTTCCCCATTTACACATAGTTCAGTCACAGGTAGTAGCTGAAACCATTGGCTCCTTTTTATCTGTACTGTTGGTATTACAGTTTTGAGATTATGCCTTTGTGGATTTCATTTGCTTTTTAAAATTATAATTACCTTTTTTTTTTTGTTTCCATATGATAATAGTATTATGTAACGATCAGGTTACTGGTATAGCTGTTTCAAGGTGTTAAATGAAGAATTCTTGTGTGCATCTTGTTTGATGCTTTTAAAAATGTAACTTAATTGTTGCTTTTTTGAGCTAGTGTTTAGGAAGATGTTACCATCTAAGAATTTTATTAGAATAGTTGAGTAAAGGAATTGCATACAGGCACTAAGTATACATTGAGCTAGGATAGAAAGTGATAGAGAAATGTAAGCCATGGAAAGCTAAGGAGAAATTGTGAAATCATTCCTTGACAGAGTAGATTAAAAAAGAAGAAGAGATAAGCAGGAAGAAGAATGTGTATCTGCATTGCCTGCAGTTATACTCACAGGTGGTTGTTACGTAGACCTGGAGTATAAAGGCCTAAAACACTAATTTAAGAGTTTATGCTCTTTTCATGCCTGTAGGTATATGTTTCTCTTACATTTTGTAGAAAATCCTGCTGCTTCCTCCACATATTAGGAGCTCCCTAGTAAGAACTTTGCTATTTACTCTGCTAGGCAGGGCTGAGTAGACATGCTCATATGCCTGGAAATGTATTGCTTTTGCAGTGCCAAGTGTGTCACTATATCCAGAAAATAAAGGCAATAGATCAGTCGCTATATATGACCCATTGTGCATTGTGGTGGAGTGTCTGATAGTGGTGAAAAGTTGCAGAGGGTAAACTGGGGTTTGAGGGTGCTAGAAAAACACATGCTGAAGTAGAGGCTGACTGTGTTTGCTACAGAGGGGAAGTGAATAGACAGAAAAGAAACTGCTTAAGCTTCCAGAACAACATTCTTTAAAGGTTTTGTGAACATGAATGAAATTATGAAAAAGTGATGATCAAGGAGAATCTGCAAGATAAAAAACAGTTAGTTAAGAACTCAAATTCATGGAAAAGAGGGAATTCTTACAGGATTACATTTCTAACCTCCTCTTTCAAGGAGCCGCTCCAGGAGTAGCTGCTCCAGTAGTCAAAAATATGGAATGAAATATGAAATGAGACAAGAGTGTTAATAAAATTCCCTGAGCTCCTTGATAACCCAATACTTGAAGTGCCAAATTCTGCCAAGCTCTAGTTTTGTTTATGAAGAAATGGAAGAGGGAAAGTTGGGCATGTCTTGGTTCTGTAACTGAATGCTTTTCTTTCACAGAAATGCGAATTCGTGCTGAATGTGCAAATTAAACCTCCTGTTGCAATCTGGGATATGGTGGTGGTGTGTTCGAAAGAATGCAGTTCATGTCAGAATGTTTTCAGTACTATCAGAAGATTATTCTGAACTGGTAGAAAATGCAAACTTTAAGCCTCATCTATAGCCTTTCCTTGAAAAATCTCTATACCCTTGAGGAGCTCAGTAAGAATTGATAAAATAATGGGATGGTAAGGCAGCTCTTAGAGTGTTAACGAATAGATGGAGGCATAATGAAAGCTTTATAGTGCTTGAGTGGATCCTTACCTTTTATGATTTATTAGAATCAAGATTTTTCCGTATTGTTTTACTCTGTACTTTTTCAACAGACATCCCAGAAGACTGAATATTCCCTTTCTGTGTACATGTTTATGTAACTGGGCGAACTGGGATAATGTTGGTTCTTGTTAGTGTAGAACAGAATAATAATAAATTTCCTTTGAAATTCATTAATTAATAAACTTGGCCTCTAAAGTCCTTGCATAATAATAAGTAATTCTATTAAATCTGTTCATTGACTGAAAGATCTTCCTAAATTTCAGCAGATGCTGTGAGAACCACCATAGACTTGTCACTGAACAAAACCTTTAGTAAAGCTGTTGCTTATTCCACCACTGCAGTTTGTATTCAGTTAATTAGCACATAAGAAATAATTCGTTCATAAGAAAGAACTTTAGTCCTGCGAAAGGTTGTTATTCTTGCATGTTACTGCACCTGGGGAGGAATAACCCCAAGCACCAGTACAGATTAGGGGTCGACCTGCTGGACAGCAGCTCCACGGAGAGGGACCTGGGAGTCCTGGTTGACACCAAGTTAACCATGAGTCAGCAGTGCCCTCGTGGCCAAGAAGGCCAATGGGATCCTGGCCTGCATCAGGAGGAGTGTTGCCAGCAGGATGAGGGAGGTGATCCTGCCCCTCTACTCAGCTCTGGTGAGGCCGCACCTGGAGTGTTGTGTGCAGTTCTGGGCTCCCCAGTATAGGAGGGACGTGGAGCTTCTGGAGAGGGTCCAGAGAGCTTCTGGAGAGGGTCCAGAGAAGGGCAACCAGGATGATTAAGGGAATGGAACATCTCTCGTATGAAGAGAGGCTGAGTGAGCTGGGCCTGTTTTCTCTGGAGAAGAGAAGGCTGAGAGGGGATATGATTAATATGTATAAGTTCAGGAAGGGAGACTGCAGGGAAGAAGGGGACAAGCTCTTTTCATTGGTGGCCAGCGATAGGACAAGGGATAATGGGCATAAGCTGAAACCCAGGAAGTTCCGTCTCCAGGTGAGGAGGAACTTCTTTACTGTGAGGGTGACAGAGCCCTGGAACAGGCTGCCCAGGGAGGTTGTGGAGTCGTCTCCTCTGGAGATCTTCAAAACCTGCCTGGATGCCACCCTGTGCCACATGCTGTAGGTGTGCCTGCTTGAGCAGGAAGGTTGGACTAGATGATCTCTAGAGGTCCCTTCCAACTTTGAATATTTTGTGATTCTCCTAATTTCAAACGCCTAATTTCAAAATGTGGAGTTCTACTAAAACCATTTTGTTGATGGAATTTCCTTCACCAATTTCAGTAATTTTGGGGAGCTTTCCAATCTGCCACTTGAATGTATAGAGGTAGTAGTGTTGGTGTGGCCCAAAGTTTATTATTGTGTTCAGAAGAGAACTAGAGGGATCCCAGTTGAAGGAATACGTTCTGCAGTGCTACAGAAATACGAGCGAGCATGTAGTTGTGAAATATCTGCCAGTGGTATTTTAGAAAACTAGAATTTAAGTGGCAGATATAATACAAGCTCTAATTGACCTTAATAGCATTGCAGAATTAGCTTTGATGGATAAGAACCATTATCTGAGTTGGATTAGGCACAACAGATTTTCCTTCTGTGTTAAGTCTGTGTGCACTATTTTCGTTTCACCTGCTTCGTTTTTTTTCTTGATCAGAATGTTATATATAATGTAAGCATATTCTCATTCAGCATATATGAAGTTCTTCAATACCTGAGAATTCACGTCAAGAAATACCGTAGCTAAACTGACAAAAATTATGTAATTTGCTTTGTTGGCCTGATTCTGCTAGACAATGCAGCTTCTTTAACAATTTGCTGTAATATTTTTTCAGTGCTTTTTTTAAAAGGATTTGAGTTCTTTTTTTGTCACAATATGTTCTCACTGAGGCTCTTAACTCGCTGCAAAGGGACCTGAATAAAAGTGCCTGTTCATTAGTTATTGCATCCAGATGTGCAGAGAGGATTCTCTGGCTGATTTGTCTTAAAATAGAGCATTGTGACCATATAGAAATAATGGATGTAGAGGCTTTGTGAATATAACAGATAAAAAGTGGTATAAAAACAGGTAGGAGATGCAGAGGCAGTGGAAAGTCCTGCCACATTAATTAATCTTGTTTCCCTACATATGTGAGGTAACTTGCCCCTTTCATGCCGGCCGGTGGGCAGAATATCTGGTCTGTGAACACCCGTGTTCCTTTTGTGTTCGAAATTCTATGTGTTTCTTCCAAGAATTATACTAGATCTAAGAAAACTCCTGTGGCTTGTTTTAAGGTGCTCAATTACTTGGGTTTCATGTTTTAAAATGTTTATGTAATTCGTTTTGTCATGCTAGTTCCAAGATAGATACACTTGATAATATTTAGAAGACAGTGTCTTGTCACAGGATGGGAGTAC